AGACTTATCACTGGGTTTGTGCTTGCATTAGCAACACGACGGGTGCCACATGTAGAGCAGGAACTGCTTTCTCTTCCGGAGGACCTGAGATGAACCCTATTTTAAAAAGGGTTTCGTGTTGCACTTGCTTTAGTTTTTAAGTGTTTCTCGTTGCTTTTTCATTATTCAATATCCGTGTTGTTTATACTAGCAACAGTCTTGTCCATCCTTTGTCAAGAAAAACGTTTCAATTTCAATAAAATGCTCCGTGGGGCGCAGCTTGATACGACCGCAGAGGTCGAACCATGAACAGTTGGAGCAAGTATGGACACTACATTCAAACTTGATACAGCTCTGAATTTGGATTGTGATTAAATATTTGACACATCAGGTTTCTGACACAGAATAAATGTGGTCAAAGAACTGAAAATTTTGAAATTGAACTTTTACCTATTATGGTCCAATATCCAAAATTTAAATACATGGTTAGAATCAGCATATCAAAGAACCCCAAGAATATAATTTTTATTGAAATCAAACAATAAGTTTAATATTGGACTCTTTGGACCTCATTGTGGACCAATTTGATAACAGGGCCAAAAATCCAAAATCTAAATACGCGGTTAGATTCAGCATATCAAAGAACCCCATAAATTCATTTGTTGTTGAAATCAAACAAAGCTCAATTTTGGACCTACTTGAAAGCTGGGCCCAAAATCAAAAATCTAAATACACGGTTATATTCAGCATATCAAAGAACCTCATGTATTCATTTTTTGTTGAAATCAAACAATGTTTAATTTTGGACCCCAATTTGGACCAACTTGAAAACTTGGCCCATAATCAAAAATCTTAATACATGTTTAGATTCAGCATATCAAAGAACCCCTGAAATTCAATTTTTGGTAAAATCAAAGAAAGTTTAATTTTGGACCCTTTGGACTCTAATGTAGACCAATTTGAAAACCGGTCCCAAAATCAAAAATCTAAACACACTGTTAGATTCAGCATATCAAAGAACCCCAAAAATTCTAATTTTTAAGTTTAATTTTGGACCTTTAGCACCTTAATCCGTAGAACAGACCGATTTGGCAAAAAAGCCTTAAAAACTAAAAAAAAATAGATATTGACAGAAGCAGAGGAATACAGTTAACAATTTGAAAATAGCTGCAAAAGAAAAATTTGAACGAAGCTTTTATAATATCATCTTAATTAATGTGACTAACCCAAAAACTTATTGGAAGATAATGAAAATGCTTATAAAATCCAATAAAGGTTCTAGTGATTCATCCCCACTTAATATTATTCACGATGAAAGCATGGAAGATATAGTGTACGAAGACGACGAGAAAAGTAATCTCTTGAATAAATATTTTAGTATGATTTCTTCCCTAGAGAAGGAAGGTGTTCCCATCCCTAAAATTGAACCAAGAACCAATATTTTTTTGAGTGACTTAGTAATTGAAAAAGATGAAATAATTGATATAATTAAAATTTAGATCCTAATAAGGCATCTTGTCCAAATGTCATAAGCCATAAAATGCCGAAAATGTGTCCTAAAAAATATCAATTCCTTTAAAAATAATATTTAATAAATCCCTTCAACAATGTAAGTTTCCCACCAGCTGGAAGACTGCAAATGTAATTGCTTTTTTTTTAAAGGAGATAGTTCGTTACCATCTAACTATAGACCAATATCGCTTATAAGTTGTGTAGGGAAAATAATGGAGCGAGTTGTTTATAAACATGTCTTCAATCACCTACTAAGAAATAAGTTTATATATGAATACCAGTCTGGTTTTTCTTCCAAAATGTTCAACAGTTCCCCAGCTTTTAGAAATTTACAATTGTATTTTAAATTCACTGGAAAATAAAGTAATTAGCTGTTTTGCTTTCTGTGACTTTTCTAAAGCTTTCGACAAAGTCTGGCATCAAGGATTGATTCATGAAATGAAGTCATACGGACGGAAATTAATTGAACTTATTTTAAAGTTACCTGAACAACATTAATAATCTTCGTCAGAGCTTTGCAGTATTTCAACCCACAGGGTTTTGTTTTGGGACCTCTCTTTTTCATTATCAATATTAATGATGTTACTGAAAATTTGATCTCTATTATGTAGATTATTTGCAGATGACACATCTCTCAGCTATTCTAGTCGCGACACGTCATAAAATAAAATCAGTGGTCCGTCACGATCTGAGTGAGCTGAGCGATTTGTATAAAAAAAAGCTGATGTCCTTTAACCCAGATAAAACAGAAATTATGTTGTTTTCTTAGCATTGAAACTCTGGAAATGGATTTCATATTCAATGATAAGAATATTCAAGTTACAGATTTTCATAAACATTTGAATGTACTTAGAAAATTAAAATACAGATTAATTAGGAATAATTTAGAAAAGCTGTACTTGACTTTTATAAGATTGTTACTCAAATATGCTTGTGAAGTTTGGGATAATATGGGTGTGGGTTATTGTAACAAACTAGAGCAGCTGCAGCTTAAGGCAACCAGAATAGTAACAGGTCTTCCTATTTTTACTAGTAGTAGAATTATTTATGATGAGATTGGTTGGGGAACTCTAGCAGAACGAAGAGAGAGGAGGAAGTTACAATTATTCTATAATATCCAACATAACAAGGCACCAGCCTATCTTTGCAATTTAATTCCACCAACATTCCAAAGTACAGCTGTGTACCCCTTACGTAATGGGAATAATATAATATACCCTTTTTGTAGACTTTCATTGACCCAAGAATCTTTCATACCTTCAACTATACGACTGTGGAATAACCTTAATGTGGTTACACGCTACATTGACTCTTTAGACAAATTTAAAACCGAATTAAAAAATATTAAACTGAATTCAAAAGCCCAAATACCTAAACATTATGAATTTGGAAATCGTAAACTCATCATCATTTTGACTCAACTGAGATGCTCAGCTTCTTTTTTGAATTATGATCTTAACAGAGTCAATATAATTTCAAATCAGTCTTTTCGCTGAAATATCACTTCTTCTTTGAATGTCCTAATTATGCTTATATAAGAAATCAAACTTTCTAATAATTTGAACTGGTTACCAGAGAACTCTCCACTAAATTTGAACATCTTAACCTCCGGTGATTCGTCATTAACTAATGATAAAATAAAAGAATGTATATGAATTTATTAAAGAGTCAAAGAGGTTTCTAATTGTGTTATATAGCACAATAAAGTTCATATATATGTAAATTGTGTACAACTATTCACATCATCACTCATCATTTGTTTTACATATCCAATATATATAATGTATTGTATTGTTTGCATGCATCCTTCGTGAATATTCTATTGTTATAAATTGTTCATGTGAGAAGATAAGTTTGATTAACTTGTGTCTCATCCCTTAAATTGCATAATTAGGCAAACAAAATATGAGTAAACTAATAAAACCTTAATGTGGACCAATTTGAAGACAGGCCCCTAAAATTAAAAATCTAAATACACGGTTAGATTTGGCACATAAAAGAACACCAATAATTCAATTTTTTATGAAATCAAACAAAGTTTAATTTTGGACCATTTAGACCTGAAAATGGACCAATTCAAAAAAAGGGCCCAGAATCCAAATTCTAAATAAACGGTTAGATTCAGCATATTAAAGAATCCCAAGAATTCAAGATTTTGAATTAAACCCTATTGAAATTGGTCAAGAAATAAGCAATTTATACAAAGTATTAAAAATGTATTGTTTTGACCCCTTTTCCTAAACGGTTAGGGTCATAACCCTGAAAATCGATCCCAACCTTCCTTTTATGGTATACAATCATAGCGATCCATAGACTTGTACTCCAATTTATTGTCAAGAAACCAGAAAATCGTAGTTTTTTTTGCCACTTTTCGGCCCTTAATTCCTAAACGGTTTGGGCCATGACCCCTAAAAAAATCAATCCCAACTTTCCTTTTGAAGTATAGACCCTTGTGGTAAAATTTCATAGATATCCATACACTTATACACAAGTTATTGTCCTGAAACAAAAATACTGCTTGTTTTTGGCCCTTTATTCCTAAACAGCTATGATAATAAACCCCAAAAATAAATCCCAACCTTCCTGTTTGTGGTATAGAACCTTATGCCATAATATCATAGAGGTCCATACACTTATACTCAAGTTATCGTCTGGAAACAAAAATATGTTCGGACGACAAAGAAAAATGATTGTTTTTGGTCCCTAATTCCTAAACAGCTGCTAGGACAATAACCCCCAAAATCAATCCCAACCTTCCTATTGTGGTATGGAACATTGTGTTACAATTCATAGAGATCCATACACTTATACTCAAGTTATTGTCTGGAAACCAAAATGTCTTCGGACGACGACGCAGGCGTCGCCATAACATAATAAGAACGCAAAAATTTTGCGGTCGTATACAAATTTCACACTCGGTCAAGAAAATTTACATGACCGATGGTTTGCGAATTTGGTGATATCTTAGGGTTATATAAGAGTCGATTACCGATCCACTATTGTGTGAGGTCTTATCACTTGGTATAGCTTACAAACATATTTTATTGAAGTAACACGACAGGTGTCACATGTGGAGTAGGATCTGCTAACCCTTCCGGAGCACCTGAGATCACCTGGGGTTTCTGTTGCTCGGTCTTTAGTTTTTTTTTCTTTTGTTTAGTTAACTGTTGTTTGTCTTCTGATCGTTTTTCCTATTTTGCCATGACGTTGTCAGTTTTTTTTCGACTTACGAGTTTATATGTCCCACTGGTATCTTTCGCCTCTCTTTTACAGAAGAATGACGAAAGGCTTGGGAGTTCAGTGTTTTACACTCCTGATATATACATGACATACTGGTGTTTTATTTCAAGCAGTTCAGAAAAACTGCATTTTAACTAACTCGATGAGCAAAAATTTAAATAAATATACCACTAACAGAAGCAAAGAAATTATATGTTTATGTTTCATTCTAGGACAAACAATTCCATACTGCAGTGTAGAAATATATAAATAAATAAAAAAACACAACATATTTTTTAGCTTTATTTCATATGACACATGTAAGCACAGCACTGATTTATTCGTCCACAAATTGAGGTAGTTTCAGAAAGATTTAAACAACATATTCAAGATTCCTGATCTAAACTTAATATTAGAATATATACAAACAAGAGGTAGTAGATAAACTTTTCTGGCAGCAAATTAAAAACAAAAAGAAAAAATCTTTCGAAAATATGTTTGTTTGAAGGTAATATACGGTCACGTCCTTTTCTGTTGAAATAATGCTACTTTACCCATAATGCATTTGTACACTCGTCATACAACATAAGCGTAATTTGTATATGTCCCTTTTTATTCTTACAGATTCTCTTGTCATTTTAAACAAACCATTTTTCATATATCGCCTAATACCTTGCATGCAATGATGTTTTATATTATCATAATGCTAATAAAAGCTTTTTTCAGTACAGGTATATTAAAAAAAACTAAACGATTGACTGAAATAGTTAGGCAAAATAAATGGAGGTACATATCTGAAAAAATACGGCGACTGACCCATTTGTTTTATGGCCACATTATTATGGACCATTTGAAAATTATAATAAACCTGAAATATATATCTATCTTTTTTTTAATCTTATATGGGAGATACCGGTAATTCATAACTCATTGCATTTCTTCTTTATATTAAAAAGTGACTTTGGCAAGAACATTTATGTATTAGAACCTTAATTAAGCTTTTTTAATTTCCTTCAAGTTTGTTCCTGAATTTGTTGTATAATAATATACATATTGGACAAAAGTGGACATCAAGAAATGTCTCGCCTGGCTACAACCGAATATTACATCAAACGTGTCACAAAAATCAAACTTACATGGTTACATTGCAATTTGACAACAGACAGTTGATTAAAGAAAACCACTTAACCAAGAAAATGAGGTTAAAACTTATTTTTCTTTAATTGGGATCTCGTTTTTATCTTATTGTGGTGTCATAAACAACATGTAGTTGTCCTTTCACTTCTATTAACTTAAAACTGACCTTAAGATGAGAACTGTGAGTAAATAAATGAATCAGGAAAATAAGGTAAAGGTATGGTATCCCCTGCCATATAGTCACACACTCTTGTAATAACACTGGAGCCTATATACATTGATATCCAATAACTGATAGTATTGAGAAGCAACGAATCTTTCGATCACATATAGTTGAAATGAACTCTTTCTTATGTACTATGTTACTTTCATAAACTTAATGAGAATAATTGACCTTAAAAAAATAAAAAAAACAATCTTATAGACCACAAGTGACCAAAACTTGTGCCATGAGCAACTGAGTCAGTCAGTCGGGCGTGCATATCTCTTACAACAAATCAGTTTATCTTTTACTTTGCAAAAGAACTACTCCAGATAGTCAACATTTAAATAAATCACCAAGTCAATACCAAGTGTCCCCACAGAAACGCCAGACCTTCGTTGGATCTTGTTTCTTCTGGAGTATACAACTTTGTTCAACTAAATTTAGCTGTCGCCAACGCCAGATTAACATACCTGTGTCTTGCCTGCAGACTTGCATCGTAGTCTAAACAACAAACAACACACAATACGTTTAACAGTATGGAAAGAAGATAATATTGTTTAAAAATTTAAATCCCGATACATTAAGATTAATATTGTATTGAAATTTAACAAAAAAACTTCTGTTGCCATTCTTATATTTGATTTATTTTTTTAGAAACAGCTTTCACTTCCCATTTTTCTGAAAAGATGGCACTAAAACTCTTCATAAAAGATGAACGTCACCGATTCTTTCAATTTGAACAAAAATAACTGAATAGAGAAAAAAATACACAAGAAAACTCAGAAATTGAAGTTTTGAAACCAGGGTCAGCCATTCTCGAATGAAAAAAAAGCAAAACCTCGGTAATCACATTTATCTGATATATACCATTAATATGATCAAAGTTTCAGTCAAACAAAAGCGAGAATATTAATACATGCAAGAAGACATATTATAATGCCAAGTCATTTTGCAATCATACTAAATATACAAAATCACCAAAATACCTTAACACACTCTCATTCTACAATATACGAAACAAAAAAGGAAAATATTACTCATGAATTTTTACAAAAGATAAATAGAATTCATGTTAAAAAGATAAATTATAAAAGATAATCAGCAACAGTCAGGTGATTGACAAGCTATACAAAAATCATCTTTAATATGCGAGTTGCTACTAAGCATGTATTGTTTGTTTCTGTGTAGCATTAAGGAAAATAAATTTCCATTTAGTTTAGTTTATCAAAGCCCAGTATTTATAAATGTATATATGAGTCAATTTCATACCATTTTTACTATAGGTCTTTTTCACGACATTTGTATAAAAATAAATAATGTTTATATATATATGGCAACGTCAGAACATATGGCACATGAAATTTCAATGACAAATATATATGTCTGAATAAAATAAAACATATTTGCTCAAAACAAAAATATTCCAACTCATGATCAAACAAGATTCATTTATAAAACATTGAAATATTTTAAATCAAGGAGATTTAAGGCCATTTTTAAAAAAGCAGTCAAATGCCAGTTTGATTATTAAATCAAATTAAATATGTAACTAGCCAAAAACTAAATAACTTTGAAATTTTTTCTGTTCAAGGAATTTTTCCAAATTATTCAGCAGTAAAGAAATACTTGATATTTATAAGTTTTTCCGTTTCATGAATGAAAATGATAATCACATTAAGACAATTTAGCACTAGTACAAAATATGTAAATAAAAACAACATTAAAGTTCGTTTTTTTACCTTTAACAAAACTTTGACTCACAAAACACATACTCACATTAAATACATATACACTACATATGTAAAAATTCAAATAAATTACATACAATTTTAAGTGAGACATACAAGAATAAGGGAAACGATGAAGAATGCTATCAGAATGATCCTCTGAATTTCAGATATGCAGATCATAATCAATTACAACCAGATATGCCAACATTTTATGTATGTCAAAAAATATATTAGTTTAGATATAGAATCCATAAATGACATGTTTTGTCTATAACTATATGACAATTTCTCTTTATGCTTTTGTTATTCGGTTGTTGTCTCATTATCTCACATAACCTTTTATTCATACGCAAGACCAACATCGATTCTTCTCGAGAGTTATCCCTTTTTCTAAATGTCTCCGTAGCAGAACTTTCCAGGTAACAATATTCAATACCTTTCAAGTTGGGCCCCGCAAACCTTCCTTATGAACTCCCATAACATACGACCTGTACTATTGGCAGAAAAGTTCATTGAATTTTGTTATTTCTGGAATTACCCTTAGGTTATACATTTGTACTATTATTTGATCTTACAAATCTTCCGTGTTCAATTTGAAGGAAACTTTGTTTACAAACGATTTGAAGATGGGACGAATCGGATATACTTTCTTGTTTATATCAATTTCTTTTGATCCTTGCATTTTATTCAATAATATCTTGCATGTCTCACCTACAGTTATGGCACAATTTTCACGTTTAGTATACATGCAAAAAAGAAAATAATATGATAACCAAGAATTTTCTAAATACCATTTAGCTTGAAAAATTATGAAGATTGCATTTTTATTTTGAGGCGGCTAAATTGTTGGGATATATTATTCTCAAAAAGAAGGAATTAAAAACTGTGTTTTGCCTACTCCTCATATCGGGCCTAATTTAATAAAATGCTTCGCTGAGCGCAGCCTGATACGACCGCAGAGGTCGAACCCTGAACAGTTGGTACAAATTTGGACACAATATTCAAGCTTGATACTGTCTGAATTTGGATTGTGATCAAATTTTTGACAATATAGATTTCTGACACAAAATAAATGTGGTCAAAGATCTTACAAATCTATTGCGCAATAATGTGCAATTGAAGATTTCTTCTTGAAACTTTTCAAAAATTCTAAATTTGAAAAAAAATGAATCCTCTAAAAAAAATTGGAAACCCCTCCCCCCCCAACTTTTTGAAACCCCCCTTGGAGCAATAACCCCAAAATTCTATCCCAGCCTTTCCTTTGTAGTATGGAACCTTGTAGTACAATTTCAGAGAGATCCATACACTTAAACACAAGTTATTGTCTGGAAACTAGAAAAATGCTTGTTTTTGGCCCTTTTTTTGGCCCCTAATTCCTACATATTTGGGCAATTAACCCCAAACTCAATCCTTGTCTTCCCTTTGTGATATGGAACCTTGTGGTACAATGTCAGAGAGATCCATACACTTACACACAAGTTATTGTCTGGAAACTAGAAAAATGCTTGTTTTTGGCCCCTTTTTGGCCCTTAATTCCGAAACTGTTGGCCCCAAAACCCCTAAAACAAATCCCAACCTTCTACTTGTGGTATTAAACATTGTCGTACAATTTTTTGCGGTCGTATAAAAAGGCTTAAACATTAAAGTCTCTATCATTAAGTCTTAACAACTCCAAGGATTCTAACGGTCACTAAATGGAACAATTAAATGACCTATTGTCTTCCCTTTTCAATTCGTCAACAAGGATAAGATGAACGCATTAAATCTTCTTGTCACATTTCCAACTATCTTTCGCCGCTTATGATTAATCAAATGAACTTTGGTGTTTATTTTCTAAAACTGTTTTTAAAAATAGGCTTAAAAGCAGCCCACTTAAATATGTTACAGATTTACTATTTACAAATCATGAAAATATTAAATGGCCTGTGATGTCACTTTGATGTCATGAAGACGTCAAAATTGATATATTTGCACCAAAATAGACATTTTACTCATTTTAAAAATTATTCTGATATTACCATTTCTATACAAGAAACTTCGTAGCTAAAGATTGGTTAGGCTATGATTTATATCTAAATATTAATAACAAGAATTTCAGTAAGAGGCTTTAAGTTTTGCATTAAATGCAACACGTTTGAATCCCTAAAGAGAATATGTAAGACCAAATCTTAAATATGAATATTCATATCTGACAGACTCATGTCTTGTGAAGATCTGAAGGAATTTGAATTTGATGGATAGATAACGCTTTCCTTTCTGTTATGATGACATATTTGATAACACACTGAAAATAAATTATAGATATATTATTGTAAAACCAAAGACCAAAAATTCGTCCTTGCTTCGAGCGGAATCAAAAGCGGCGTGGAAAATTATTTTTGGCCCACCCCTTCCCAATTTAGTCAAGTCCAACGACACTACATATTCATGATATTGGCCTCTAAATTCCCATTAATTCCAGTGGTTCACAAAAACCTTAAAGACTTGTTTCCATGTTACATTCAAACTATAATCATTTGAATTGTAATAAACATATTTAATATTTCCCTGATTTCACCCGTCATAAAAAGAATAAATAATTTGTTTAATAAAAAAAACAACATTACAGATAAAAAAAATTATATATATATACTCCGCCTCTCTATATATAACGCAAATATCAAACAGTGATATATGAATATCTTCTTGAACTTCTACACCCGTAAAGTTAAAACCCGATCAACATCAGAACCAAGTCATTCTCCGAATATTGTATACAAAACGGAATAAAGAAACAATGAAGAAAAAATCTAATCTGAAGATAGAAATAAAATTCACAAGGTCTAAATATAGTATATGCTTATGTACACATGGATATAGTTCAGTTAAATACGTTTATAGGGATGCACAAAATTGTCGAGATAAATGATGCAAACAAGTTGCTTTGATACCTCGAAAAATATTATTCTACACAATGAATGTTGATATACCTGTAAACTCTCTGGTTACCGTTTTTCTTGGCGTTCAGCATTATTCAATTTCTGTTCACGATTTCTTATATTCCCTGTTGAGACTCGCTTTCGGGACTAGACTGACTGCTGTTATCATCCTTATGATCGGACCTAATACCCCTCTTTTTCTCAACGAGATCTCGTAGCCGTCTCATTTCGTCCTGTAAAACATCAAGTTCTTCTCTAAGTTTCCCATTTTCATTTTCAAGATAACTGGACTTGACCTCACGCAGCTGGGTGAGCGTTTTTCTGTTTTCCCTGCATTTCCGTGCTGCTTCATTGTTTCGCTTACGTCTTTCAACATACCTTGGATCAATTAAAGCTCTGGAATTACTGTTATTTCCACTCCCTGAAGAATTTGTATCGTTTCGTTCGTCTTCTTGAGATGGTCGTTTTACAAGAGGTAGAGGATTTGACTGCGCTAGCGCGATCTCGGAGAGCTGCGTTAGACCACTGAGATAGTAACTACTTCCGTAGTCTTTGAAAGGAGAAGGGTTTTTATTATCTGTAGGTAGTTTGTGTCGTAGTTTATGAGGTAATGCCATGGCAGGGGGACTGTTGGAAACTGGACTTCCTGGTGATGATATGGAATTTGAGCTATCATTTCCTGAGAAACTGTTAGTTCGGCGTCTAACAGTGAGAGATAATGGTTGATCCTGAGAGAAGTCGTCTGAAAGGTCTTCGTGTTGCAGCCCTGATGTGCGAGAAGTTAAACTATTTGATCTATCACGAGACTGACAGTAGGCTGCCATAGACATTTGCGATGAGGTAGGATTTGTTGAAAATGAATGAGATGGCTTTTCCTGAGGAGGCAGGCTGATTCCTGAGTCATGATATCGGAACATGGATTCATTTTTTTCAGCTGTGTGGCGAACATCCGATTCATATTCTGAATTTTTGTTTGCCATGATATGTTCATAATTCATTTTCATCTGCTTGCGCATGATTTCTTCATTAAGTTCCGAGTGATTGTACGCTGCTTGTTTGGGACTGTATTCAGAAATGTCTTTGTCAGATCTGGAATTAATTGATGAATTTGTAGATGCTGTCGAATTGGTCACATACTGATCAGAGGTAGGAGCAAATAAATATGGTAATGTTTTTGGAGGATAACTATCTTGAACTGGAGGCAGTCTAACAGATAACTGAGATGATAAAGGCATTACTGGTGCACAGCGTGAGTTCGTTATTTGGGAATTCATATATCCTGGCATTTGTGGTGCCATCGGAGAATTTAAAGAATACAATCTAGCCTTCTCGGAATGACTATCTTTCTCATTTTCATCCAGTTGAAATGTTTCGTTAAGGGGTATTCCGAACTTTTTCTTGATGGCGTACAACTCGTTTCTTAACCCAAGGTTATCGCGACTAAGCTCTATAATGCGATTTTCTAAGACAACATCTTGTATGCGTCTTTTCTCTCGAGATCTTCTTGCTGCTTCATTGTTTTTGCGTCTTTTTTCCCAGTAACATTGATCCTTATTAGTTTCTGGGATAAATTCCCTCCGTTTTCTGCTAGGAATAAATCTTGCCTCGTCTTCATCATCGCTCTTTCCGTTTGAGGTAGGAGTGACAATACATGTTGGTATGCCAATATTTGATGAATCGTTTGAACTTTGGTCATCATCGCGTCTCTTACGTTTCAGTGGACCCGTATCGGAATTATCTGACTCGATATCCATAGACTCTGCTGGATAAGATGGAGAACTGAAAAAAAAGAATATAGTTAATGATTGATAGTATTTTAAGCATCAGTAGCACTAAAAGGCAACATCGAGAAGATGAACATGAAATGGAAGATATTAAAAAGAAATGAAAATGGGATGTGATGGGACACATAAGGGAAATGAATTATCAATGCCACAGGAAGTATATGGAGAGTTGGATAGGGTTTGAAAATTAGTCATCCGCATCGGCGGGCCCACAATGAGCCTATACTTCTAATGAATTGTGTTGGATGGGTTCTTTTCTTGCCAGGAGATAGATACATCCAGTGGCGCTCTTTTGCTCAGGGTTTGGGTTACACCCCTTATTTGAAACAAAACTCGTCTTATTTTTATTCCCCGGAAATCTCTCGATATTTAACAAAAGCATTATGATCAATAACTAAAGAATGACAAAGCCAATCCACTAAAAAATGAAAACTAGTATAAGGCCTCGTGAAACGCTTTGAAGTGTTTTCCACAAATAATCCGTCTGATCCTTTAAATGATAATCACCGATTCACTGTTTACAACATCAAGTATCTTTCTCTATACACGCTTAGACATGACACATAACATTGATTCAACTAAAGATGAGCTTTGAAATATTTTCGACGAAAAGATGTTGATGTGAGTGAGAAAGTGACGGAAAGCTGCTACTAGTACTATTGCCTAAGTTAAACTTTGACCGAATTTACTAATCGTGTTTAATTTCCGTTTTAAATAGATATGTTATGCAACTGTTTAATCATAGTAGGACATTTCGCGCTGAATATGCTGTGTAAAATCTTGCCATTATTCAAAGATAAATGCATATTTTCAATTTAATGTATACAATTTTGAGTCGGATAATGACCCCTGATTGCAATTGTTATGCTCGTATATATAATTTCGTAACTTATTTTCGTGTTGTACAATGACTTTTTTACAACTAAAAATGCACCAATTCAAGATCGTTTACTGTTTTTATTTGCATACAATTATAGGCAGAGAATAACATTTTTTTTTCTAAATTAAGGCTACAATTAGCATACCTTTAAAATCTCATTTATTAAACAAACGTGTTACGAATGGTTAAAAAGCGATTGGCTCATTAATCTAGGCAACTTTTTTTCGCAATGTATTTATCTTATAATCACTTAAAATTCGGGACCAGAAAAGAAAAAAATCAATCTTCTAAAACAATTCTGACATTGACCTTCAATCTGATTAAAATCCAGATCTATTTTAACTATATAAGTTCATATGAGGATAACGAGATACATATTTTAATTAGATTAATTGACCTTGTAGTTTTTTGTAATTCTTTTTTGCTCCATTTTCTCCCTATTTTAAAAAAGAGAGGCGAAAGAAGATAATCCAGTACTTTGGTAAAGACACGATGATACAGTTTGTCTCTAAATTTTATCATTTATGTAACTTGTTTTATAATAAAACGGAGGTTGCGGCTCACACTTTAGACCATGTTGACTGTATAGGCTCTAGTTGCTTTTTACGTAGGTATGAATGACTTTCGCCACCTTGGATTGTAAAATAGCAGAACTAAATAAGTCTAGATTTTAAATCAAGTCAGCAAAATTTGATGCAGGAATGCAATTAACTAATGTGTATTTTCATTCAAATGAACAAATTTATAAGATTTTTAACCTTCCATTTACATAATGATGTTTTTTTTTTGTATAATCCATACAAAATGTGACATTTTTAGCTCACCTGGCCCAAAGAACTAAGTGAGCTTTTCTCATCACTTGGCGTCCTTCGTCCGTCGTCTTCGTCGTCGTCCGATAACTTTTACAAAAATCTTCTCCTCTGAAACTACTGGACCAAATTTAACCAAACTTGGCCACAATCATCATTGGAGTATCTCATTTTATAAATGTGTCCGATGACCCCGCCTGTCAACCAAGATGGCCGACATGGTAAAAAATAGGACATTGGGGTAAAATGCAAGTTTTGTCTATTATTTTGAAAACCGTTATAAATAGAAAAAATCTGACAGGTTCAGAAATGTTCAGAATGTTTAGCTCTACCATTTGTCCATATACGTCAAAACTGTCAGACCACTTCTTATAGGAGTTATTGCCCTTAAATGACAATTTTACCATTTTTTTCCATTTTTGCCTATTATCTTGAAAACTATAATAGATAGAGAGAAACTTTAAATTGCATAAATGATCAGCAAGACAAGTTCTACAAATAAGTCTGATCCTCGAAATCGTCAATCGACTTCTTATTAGAGTTATTGCCCTATGATGACGATTTTTACCAATCTATTGCGTTTTTGTCTTATATCTTAAAAACTATAATAGATAGATAGAAACTTAAAGGAGCAAAAATGATCAGGAAGACAAGATTTAAGACAATATGGAGGAAATCGTACGACATCTCCTTATTGGAGGTACTGCCCTTTAATGACGAGTTTTACCATTATTTTTTTTGCGTTTTGCCTTATATGATAAAATTATAATAGATACATAGACACTTTAAATCACAAAAAAATTACCAGCAAGGCAAGATCTACTAACAAGTCAAATTTTGCCAATATAGTTAGTAGACTGTCACTCTTTATAGGAGTGATTCTCCTTCATTGATAATTGTTTTACCCTCTTTTAGTGTTTTGAGGAAAATCTAAAGAAGAAAGAGAGAAACTTGACACTAAATGATCAGCAAAACAAGATCAACAAAACAGAAATTTTTGTCATGAATTCTATTCTCGTCTACAGTGTTGGTGCGTGTCCTTTGTTGAATATGCACATAAACCAAGGTGAGCGACACAGAGCTCTTTAGAGACTCTAGTTTCACAACCTGTAGCTTAAAATAAAAGCTCTGTGACCTACCACTTTTATTATATTTTTTTACTTATATACTGAATTGGGGCAAAGTATAAAAAGTTCTTTCATTTTTCATTTTATACTACCATACCAGGTTAAGCTGTCAAACCTTTTTTTATATTTTTGGTTTCCTAACTTTTAGTCTCGAATATCCCAATGACAAAATAAAAGAGTCGTGCGTACGGAAACAGTTGCGTGTTGTTTGTTTCAGGGAACTAAGTGTAAAGGGTCGTGTGTGTATTAAGGGGATACAGAACTCTTATAGTCTTTCAATAAAGGGGAGGGACAAAGATCATTTCATGATTTTTTTTTTTGCTGTCAAAATTATAGTGTTGTACAAATCTACTATAAAATCATTTTCACGGTAAACCCCGTGATTCCGATCCCCGGATCCGGCCATTCTTTTAAGTAGACTATATATTGTAATACGCCTTCAATTTTGTTACCAAAAGGTAGTCGGAATGCATAAATTTTACAAGAGTAATCTTAATGTCAACATGCATTTACATTTGTACCACAGAAGGTAAATAAAAGTTACCTACTCAACAACACTAATTCACGAAACCAACATGTGACAACATGGAAAGAAAGGAGAAAAAATGATTGATGTTTGCTTTAATCTTCCAGTGGCAAGATAATAAATTTTACAAAACTTGAGGTAAGCTCTACAAAAGCGGTTTAAATACCGCACAGAAGAGCGGGTATTTTAGACAGCCATTGGAAAAAAAAAAGGTATGTTGGATACAAATTTTGCCTTGAAACAGACCATCTACTGACCCCTGAAACAATTTTCACAAGGGTTCTCATACAGCCAATGGGACGTCCCTCTGTGGCATGGGGTTAACTGTCGTATGGTAGAAGTTCATGAATATTTCTCTACTCCTGGCAGTTCACCCTTGGGGTGAATTAGAACAAATAAAGAGCTGCGCCATAAGCGCATGATACGCCCGTCGCTTTTTCAACGAACAAAGTTCCATAACTCCTCAAAGTCATATCAGAAATTCATAAAAAAAAAAAGGAGCTTATTTAAATAGATATAAACCAGTCACCAAAGTTTCATGAAAACTGCTAAAAGCATTTTTGAGTTATTGTCCGAAAACTGGAAAATCCCCCCTTCTTTATAAATAAAATCAAATAACTCGAAAACGGAAAATCTAAAATTTATAAAAATCAAAAGGGGGCATACGTCAATAGATATAAACAATTCACCAAAGTTTCATGAAAATTGGTTAAATCGTTTTTGAGTTAATGTCCGACATGTTGACGACGGACGGACGAACAGACAGACGGACGGACGGACAACGGTATACCATCATACGTCCCGTAAACGGACGTATACAATTGTAATGTTTAATAAATATTGCTTTAATGTCGATGTCAACATGCAAGGTTATGCGACTATCGAGATCGTGTGCTAAATTTGAAATTGTAACCTCTTTTTGAAAGCAAACAATTTTATTTTACAATAGTTAATAAGAAATTGTTTTAAAGGGGTAGGTTCAGAAGTCTCAAGAAAAGTTTTAAATTAGGATATTTATGTATTACTTTGGATTTGGTTTTAACGTTTGGACAGCTGTCATATTTGACATCGTTTAAAACATGAAACATGACTAAAGATGGTCTCATTCGTCTGATCTTAAAGTACTTAAATAACCCACATGCATATTAATTCCACAAGCATGTAGGACCAGCAATCATTTAAATTAATGAGCGTTCAAAAATGAAATTAGTTACGGTTTAACTGTTATTTAAAGAATGAGATATGCCGTGAATATGCAGATTTATTTATGCAGGACGTCAAGGTTCATTCCAGGCTAGCATTCATTGTGCCTGATCGGGTTCATTTGATGTCGAGGATGTCAAGACCAGGACATGACCTTTATTGTCCATAGCTAAACAAAAACGCAGAACAAAAAATAAATTTTTCTGTCTGCTGTATTTTAATAATGATGATAAAAATCGATATAAACAGATAAAGAAGACCTTAACTTAACATTTCACACCTGCTTAAGGAATTATAATTATCAAACGGGTTGACCGGATTAACAAGGAACAATTTTTCAATTTACCATGTGAATGTTTCAGACATCTCACAAGGAGATTAATATTATTCATCATACATAAATGTTTGCTACTGTAACATAATTTCAACTGATACCAAATAATAAAATACAGCTTTAAAAAAAAATTTGGTAACTGTATTTAATTAATATAATGTTCTCGATTAGCTTAATTTTTTTTTAATCTGAAAGCAAAAGTAAAGCTTTATCATTCTAGAATTATTCCCAACAAAAATGCATGCACCCTTTTCAACCATACTTAATATAGCTGATGGCATGTAACTGATGAAGAATATATAGCGTTTACATTTACGTCGTAGATGTAACAAGTATACACGTTTTGTGCAAGCATACACAATAAGCTGTTGATCAAACATGAGGTCATTCTATTAATCATTTTATGAGAAAAGTTCACGAAAATCTGTTTGACGAACGGACAAACAGAGGGACAAGGTGACTGCAATATAGTCCCACTCCTATAGTGGGGATGTAAAATTGTACACAATGATGATGGTCGACAAGGGTTTAAGCAAGCACCAAACTGTTGAAAAAAAATGTTAAATTCTGGGTGTTGATCCCTTTCGTCACTTCATAACTGGGAATCAGAAGGAGATATAAAAATTCTGAAGCCAGGGTCGAATCTTACTGTCCTCAGCTTTAAAATTGTGAAAATGTCACTTAAACAACTTTTAAATCCCTTTAATAAATCTAAGACCGAAATCATATTTAAAATTTTATTAAAATCAGTAAATTCCACATGGAATCTGACCAAAGTTATCAATCTTGACGAATAATATGACTGAAAAATTTAGGTCATGGCCCATTGCTTAGAAATGGTCAGACTCAAATGTTTTTGACATAAAAAATATAACAAATTTCAAGCAAAATCAAAATCGATCAACACTAAATTCTCCGTCAAAATAAACAAAACACCACCATTTTGGACCCTGTGTTTGATTGACTGAAGGACACATAACGTCCAGCGACAAATATTTATAACATAATGAGGACGAACTGTCCTAAATAATCGTGACGTGTTTTGTGAGGATGCAGCGAATATTGATGTATTTTTTTCGGGTATTGATGTAACGACCTTCCGTGCATGACATAACCGAGGTGGTGTAAAACAAGCATTATCAAAATCAACAGAATCAATCCCAAATGTGCCAGAGATTAAGTGCAGACGGACGACGACACACATATACAACAATATACGGCCGCAGTTCTCACTTTATACAATCAGTGATAATAACAAGGACATAAAACAAGGATCCTGTTTCATGCCTTAAAAATATTTATTGACTGAAGCAAGCTGTTACGTGTACAACAGTTCAATATACGAATAAAAACTAATGCTATGCAAATGAGCTAATATCGAAAACAATCACTGTTCAGAATTAATATAACGGAAATTCAATTTCAGTTAGGTTTTTTTTCGTTTGTAGTACGAGAATTTCAACAGCTAATTCGCGTTTTGGTCTTTATTCATTTCAAAAAAATAGTTTAAATAACCAAATTACTGTAATATAATAAGTTGTAACATGTTCGTACGCGTGCACTGATTGTCACAACTGCTTGGTTTTAATGAATGAAAATCGATCATAAGAGAAATTCACATCGAGATCGAGGCTTGGAATATATATTTTTATTAATGACGACTAGCTTTTGTTCTCAAATACTTGTAAATACGTAACTTATACATATGTAAAAGGAAATATTTCACAATCTCTTTAAAAAAACTCGAGATATGCCATTGTTTAGGAAACAAACAACGTAAAGGTTTACTTGGTTAAAAAGTAATTTTGCTCACATTGCGATTATTGAATATAAAAAAATGCTTGCAAAATATAAATACAATTATATGATGTTTAAATAAACTTATAAATATGTGAAAAGAATTTCTGTACAAAGGTATTTAATACATAACATGCTTATGCTTTTTTTTCTTTTGCTCATTTGGCCAAAAGTACCAGGTTATGTCAGCACTAGGAGTCCGTCGTCATTCGACCGTCGTATTTTTCTCTCTAACAAAATTTAAAAAACACATCAGAATAAAAAAAAACTTGGACATCTGAACCAAGTGTAGTCAAAATCACTAAAAGATATGACAGTTCAAAACATATATGACGATGCCGTCAACTAATGAGCCTAACTCATATGCGTTATATACCATAATATAGAGCATAAAAAGGAGCGGTACAAACATCAAATTAGTTTTTGTTGCCTATGAGAAAAAATTATGTCGGATGGCCTCTTGCTGAACCATATAACTGTTTACTATAAATATAAAATATATATCATACATCATTATATGATTGCACACATTTGCTGTCTAAAACATATAGCAATGCATAGGTGCATACATGATTTTCTTAATATACGATAGGACGGTAAACTTTATTTCCAAATGAAATATTTTAAAGTTTTACTTGTATTATACGTCTAAGGATAAATTATATGAACTTATAAATTTAGGTTTCACTATGGTATCCATTCAAGTTGGAGAAATGATGACTCCACAGCAAAAATATCATAGTGACAATCATACAACTGTCAAACAAAAATAGACAATACCATGACTAAAAGAAAATGTCGGTGCATGTGATTCTCTAACGGTAAATGCATGACCGAATTACGAGTTTGAAATAGAGAGATACTTTTCTGGACAAAGGATATCGAAGAAAGTAAAATAACACAAATTCGACAAAGGAAATTGAAGCGAAAGAATGATTTACATTGTGTAATGCAATCGATCGATTCAAGGTCAAAAGTACGTAGGTTACAAATAGCAAAGTGATAAATAAAAAAAAATGTCTTTTTCATTTCTTCTATCATGCTGTTGGTTTGTTGTTTCGTTGCATATATACACATGAGGAGATCTGGTATTATTGTTAATGAGACAACTATTTACCAGAAATCAAATGACGAGGATATAAACAACACATTTGTACACGTCACTGTACAGCTGTCAACAATCTTTAAAGTGCTTGTATGACATAATGCAAAACAATTCATAAGAGAAAACATGCGATTTAAGCTAAACACAATACACAAAATAAAATTTTCTAGCATTGGGTTGGTATTTCTTCGGGTAGACTGTTAAGTCTCATGATAGGATATAATTACCTCTGTCGTGAGATTTATTTTTAACATACTTTTCATAAATTCTCCGTTGGTAAATTTGGAAACTATTAAAAAAATAAGGTTTTAACTCCCTCAGCAAAGTTGACCTTATGAGAATTATGGTGTTTTTTTTTAATGTCCTATTTCATTTGCTGTTGGTCATAAAGACATATAGCTCCTCAGATATCCATGACATATACTTCCACATCTTTACCTTTCACATTTTTGTGTTTGAGTGTTCCTGTAGGAGGTGAACACAGAAAATTCCTTCTGTCACACCAAATTAATAAAGTGTTATTTTCATTTAATTGCCGGCAGCAACCAACGATTATATATAGATATGTATTAAGAAGTCTTAATTGAAAACAACGTTCAAACCTAGATATATATTAGTATATAGTTCTTTTCAGTCATAAATATTTTCACCATCAACATTCCCCCGACCTCCATCCCGGACGGCCTCTATTACAAGACCTATCTATTGTATTTATTGTTTGTTCTCGTCCTGAACATACATGAAATATTTGCCACTGGACATTAAGAAACCAAAATTCAATCAATTACCCCCGCAATCACCACCAACAACCATAAAAAAATGGAAACAAAAATTAAAATATTATTTGAACATGTAAATATAACAATGAGCATATAAGAAATTATAGTTCGATTTAAATTAGAGACTTTACATCACCGAATATCTACTTCAATGAATGATGTAACGATACTTAACAAAAAATATATCAGATAAAAAGTTCTTTATATTAAAGTAATTGTATCATACCTTCCAAATTCATGAGGTAATATTGAATAAAATTCCTGAAGTCCTTTTTGATACATTAAAACCGGCATCTTGGTCGATTTGTATCACAAAAATAAGTTACGCAAGACGTAAAACATTCAGTCATTATGCATTGCAATGTTGTAAACATTATTACGTATTGCACACGTGATTCATTTGTACGCATGACCTTGTGCATATTGTGTAATAAAAACTCCCTTGCTGTGAATAATTCAAACGAATAATCATTCTCGCTAGGGTTCATTTGAGGCCAACCTTATTAACATTACATGACCTACAACACACTCATAGATTACGTTGTGTATTGACTAAAATAGTACGTGTTGTGTAATATACTACTTTACCTGTAATTTCAAAATCCGTATTCCTAAATGTCGGTCAAAGGTCTAAATCAAACTGTGTGAGAATTTTGTTGACAAAGAAAATATTGAAAAATACATATCAAATGAAAACTTACCCCGTATTTTCAAATCAATTGTTTTGTCCAATACATTGAAAAAACAAACTAATCCCTGAGTTTGAAATATAGCACTTGAAATGTTGCTTTTCACATTTGAGGTAGGAACTGCAAAATAAAATTATGTAATAAACAAAACATAGAGAAAGATTAGTTTATCACGTGGAGGCTTGAACTGATATGACCTGGCGATTTCGAAGTTAAGAACAAAGCGGAACCGAAGTAAATTTACTGCAGACGAAAACGAACGGTCATCGGTGATTTACCGGTCAGTATGTTAATATACCTTGTACTGGTTTAGGCAGACCAACTCTGCCATTTATCAAATCACTTGTCACATACCATGCAGCATGTTCATCGGCAAACTGAAGCCATGACTTCAGTGTAATACTTGACCTTAAAAAGCATATGCGTGCGCACAAATATTATATAATGGGCGCGTTGAAAAAAAAATGAAGTGCATGCATGATATTTGTTTTGTAATGACATGGTAAAACCTATTATATAACATTTATTTTTGGGCAATTTTCGTTGAAACTAAAATGTTGGTCGAAAGGATCGATCGATTTGCAATAAAACATACTTGTATTGATTGTATTATCATTTTTCTGTGTCATACCACACTATAAATTGTCAAGGCTATTGGATACGTCATATTTGTTATTCATTTGGAAGTATGTATTATTTGCAGGTTCATTCATGTTGAAACTTTTACAGGATTGTTTAAAAAAATCAAATAAAAAAGAAGATAACTTTTTACAGTTCATCTTTAGGTTTTGCTTTACTTATTTGTACACAATGGTACACATATTACTCCAGATAGATACAAAGGAAATGACACCATGAAATACGTTGACTTAGGTCATTTATCATTTCCTATTTAAACAACAATACAAATTAAAAATTGTGTGTACTGTGCTAGTAATTTAAATAAATCGTCGAATCATACACAAAACTCTGTGAAAAGAGATAAAAAGAATATACCAATGGGACAAACTGTTTAACTGTAAATATTTTAAAAGGCAATTCAATTCCACAAGAGCCCGAGATTTCTAAATAAACATTTCACTCGATGCAAAATATATTTTATGCATTATAAATATACCTTTAGATACTAGTTGTTTTTAGAGAAATGATCATGACTTTGTACGAGCAGAAGTCATCCTCGTATTGGACTTATGGTATCTAACATTAAATCATTAATATCGGTTATCACCTGACCTTCAATTAGAAGAACAAACATTGTGCGTAAGTGTGAATGCACATGTGTTACGCTTCATATTATTATGCAACATTACACATATTGTAACTAAAAATATACATGGCCTTGGATAATTGACCGTATTTTATACATCAAAACAACATATAAATCGATAAATGACAACGTACAGTCTTGATCAAGACAGTAAATTGATTCGCGAATTAATAGTCGTTTGAAATGTTTTCTTCAAAAACATAAAACATAAATTCTTCACAGAAATATCAAAGCGAACTTGATATAATAATCTATAAAGATAAAAGGAACATGCATGGCTACACAGTACTTTAATGCAATTATTATGATCGTGTAGCCATAGAAACTTGCGTATCGATTTCGATTTGAAATGGATGGATGACACGAAGGTCAATTCCGGCCACTGGTGATAACTGTTGTCTGTATGCATGGACCGTCGATTTATCCTCTGTTTGACCCCAGTGTAAAAAATATCAGTACAGCTGTATGTCCATTATATTTGTTATTACACTTTAAGGCTCATTTGGGATAAAGAAATTATATTTTCAGTACACATTCGCTTGTTTGAAACATAATCATAAAGTTATGGCTATAGGTATGTTGCTCAGTTAAACAAGAAAATCTTAGACTTACATAAATATGTATATTATTTGCCTCGTAATTCCCGCAATTAAAAATGATAATTTCCCATTTCACAGACACTTGTTTGAGTGCAATATTGAATATGCGATTAATAGTAACCCCCTCAAAGCTTCCATTCCGAACACATTATACCTATCAAGTTCACTATAAATGACATCTTATTTTGCTCTGTTTGTAATGGGGAAAACAATGTACAATTTTAATATTGAACGTTTTATTTAATAAATGGAACATTTTTGTAGTTGAAAGAACTAAGGGTGCATTGTATATTGTACAGAAAAGGCACAATGGCGACGTAATATAAGTAGAAATTGGGCAGAAAACGTTAAAAAAAAGAAAACAAAGGAAAAGGGAAGTTCACAAAACTTAACACATAAAACTATAAAGATTGAGCAACACGAAACTCTGCAAACACGGGGGGTTTCTAGGTCTCAGAAAGACTCAGTAGTTTCTGTACCTCTATTGGTGCTCGTGAGAGTTAACTTGAGAACCCGGAGATTAGTGACACATATTTTTATAATGGTTTACCAAGTCGTGATGGCACCCGCAAAACTTTTGAAGACATTACTTTAAATTTTCATTAAATAATCCTTCATTAAGTTCTTGGTAATATCTAGTAGTTAATTCGGTACATTATATGTATGGACTATACTGTTTATGTTCTTATGTGGGTCACACATGTTGACTACTATCACACGGAATACTAGAGACCACAAAATAGAAAATAAAGAGATGTGGTATATATGACAACTATCCACAAAAGTTCAAATGAAAAGTATTTAAGCAATTATAGGCAACCGTATGGCCTTCAACAATGAGAAAAACCCATACCGTATAGTCGGCTTTAAAATAGTCTGTTTACCAGCTGGATCTACTGTAAGAAAAAAGTGAAAATAATCAGCTAACGTGTATGAAGCTATAATTCATACAATATTCTCATGTTGTCACGTGGTATCGAAATGCAAACAATTAATCAAACGCTCTCAAGTGATTAAAATTTCATATTAACATTCTTTAGTATATGCCTTTCGAATACTCTCCAATAGAAGTTCAAGATTAAATTGTCTGTGTATAGACTATTTACAATTTATGCATAAAATGCAAGTTATCTCTGCATTTGCTATTATGTGTGTGCTTTATTATTGTTTGCAGTACTGTAATGTTTTTCAGGAAGAAATATGATTATAAATTCCAGCTTTTATCTTGCCACTGAAACAAAAATATTAAAATTATTCCATCCTTTCAAAATTATAGTAAGTTTATCTATAAATGAAAGGGGCGGTATAATCTGGATACTAGTAAAAAATGGTCAGTTTTTATTTCAGTATAGTCGTATTCAACATATCGAAATTGACATTTATGACATAACGTAAACATAGCCATCAGGGGCGGATCCAGGATTTTGGAAAGGGGGGGCGTAGTATTTAAAGTTCGCCGAGCGGAGCGAGGCGAAAATTTTTTTAGACCTTTTTTGGGGCTAAAAAACATAAAATAAGTGTAAAATGCACATTTTTAACGGTTCCTGACGTGGGGCATGTATATTTTATAGTTAAAGTGTAAGCTAGGGTTGGACATTTTTGATGCCGCATTCTCCCCATTAATTGTCTATTATAAAATGACTGAATGGATCCAAAGCTATGTACAACTAATATATTTGATGTGGGATTTGTCAGTAAAAAATGGACATGGACAATTCTCGTTTGTTGTATGGTTAGTTAGCATAACCTCACAGATTTCTGTAAACATGTATGATGATATGCGGCTATTCAATGAAGTTTATAATACGACCGACACGAACAAAGACAAACAAGCATTTTTTATCCAAATGTTTGGTTGAAATGTTTCACCCAACAAGGGAAGTGAGGGGTCCCAAATCAACCAAAGGCTACGAATGAGTCTGAAAATCAAATGACAACGAAGTTGTGAATGACGGTCGACAAATGGAGACATAAAGGCCACACCCAGCAGGCAGGTTGCAGTTGGGCCTTGAAAAAAGTATTCAGTATATCAGTTCGGCGAAACAGACATTTCGGTCAGATATGGGATTTACATGCAAACCCCCAAAAAAATTTACGCCCGTTTTTTTATTCACCATGTTCATTTAATGCTGAATAATTCTGTTGGATTTTTTTTTCTGATAGCAAAAAGGGGACACGAGAATTGTTTTCAATACAGATACGGCCAGAATTTTTGTTTAAGGCAAAAATCAGGGTCAGAATTTTTTCTCTAAAATATCTCAGACTGCCCTATCAAATCAAATGGTCCGTACCTTAGACTTTAAATCTATCTCGAGCTTACTGACTGGGGATCACTATTCAGCAATGTTATTAATTGGCTGGGGCGTCTGGGGTTAAACATATTTTTGTAGGTAAATAATATTGCTGTGGAACTTTTTTTTCATGAGAGTGTAATAGAGTATTACTTTCTGTTGAGTGGAATTGTGAAATAGAAGTCAATACGTGGTTCTTGTTCAATCCTTTGTCGCTTTGAAAGAGTCATGCTTGTCATCCTCCGCTGTAAGCAATGTGTTACTGTAATTTAAATTTCAAAATCACTGAGTGACGTTTTTTTCGACGTACTGATCAACTCCACCGTAGCGAATCACATGACTTTGACATAATCAATAATATATTACAGTAAATACGAGCGAAAAATATCTTTATAAGTAAAGAATTGTCGCATAAAAATTAAATACACGGCCGGGTAATGGCAAAGTTCACGAAGTCTAGTCTGATTAATCATTTTACCAAAAAAAAAAAAAAAATCATGCAAAGGGGGGGCGTACGCCCTCTACGCCCCCCTCTGGATCCGCCACTGGCCATTTTACATATAATTTACGGCTACATTAACACAGTTAAAATCATATTCACGGTAGTCATTTCTCTTTTGTTCAAACTAATTCTGTAGTTACATAATGAACAACCCCGTTTCGTTTTTGTTTATTCGTTTGTCGATTATGCATTAAGCTTAGTCTTTAAAGGGACATTAGCTGCTACATTCATTAAATTTAAAAAGTAAAACTAGGGATCCAACAGGTGGACTAATACACTGACTGATTCGTTTTTCTTGTACATAATAAAAAGTTTGCAGGTCGAATAAGTCAACGTTTTGGTCTTCCTGATAAATCCATAGCTGACGTTCTTTCAATAACTGAACTTGCTGAGCAAATGCGCAATCATCTCTAACTTAGGCCACATCGTAGATCGAAAGCATACGGATCTAAAAAGTAAAAATAATAAAATTAAAAACCAATTATTCAGAGAACAATTGAAGGTCTTTCCACAAAAAAACATGTATTTTAATATGAAAATAGTAAAATTCGTTTTAAAATGTCATTTCCAGCTTCAAATGATAGCTTATTGTACGCTGATTCCAAAAATATATGGTTTCTATACAATATATTTTAAATAAGGGAGATAATTTGTTACTTCCGGTTTGAAAAATGTTACTTCCGGTATTATTCAAACGTTTAATTGACACTGATACCAAAAATATCTGGTTTTATAAACTTTTACATTAATTAAGTACAAAAAAAAAC